GGTGTAGGCAGAGATTTGGGGAGGAGAGAGATGGCCTGTGTGGCTGCAGAGACAAAGGGACAGTAAACAGATGAGCTTGGATGCAGCAGAACAGGTGTCTGGAGACAGTGAGAAATGATGCCAGGACAATGCAGGGACTGGGGAGAATGGGCCGGCCACTTAGACTTGAGTGGAAAGGCCTTGGGGAGCCCCAGGATGTTCTGCAGCCAGCATGTGGCAGAAGAGGCATGTTAGGGCCGAAGAGAGATATCTGGAAGGTCTGCGAGGATGCCCGGGCACAGGGAGAGCTCCACAGCAGAGTGGCATGGCAAGGCTGGAGGCCTTGGGGACATTGTCGAGGAGGGACATTAGCTCCTGTGACAGCTGTCTGGGACTTAACAAGCCAGGCTCTGCCACCTGCCTTGGAGATGCCAACTACAGGAGCCAAATTAATAGCAAAAACAGAAAACAGAGATTTGTTCAATGTGACCACATTGGGAAGAGGGACAGTCATCCCCACATCCATCTTTGGGGTGCAGATGTGAGGTCAATGTGTAAGAGCACTGGCTGCTTTCCGGGGGAACCGGAGTTCAGTTCCCAGTACCCACGTCAGGCGGCTCACAGCCACCTGTAACTCCAGCTCCAGGGGCCCCAGCGTTTCTGGCCTCTGAGGGCACTTGTACTCACACGCAGATATAAACACATGCACCCAAAAACAAACAAACAAACAAACAAACAAACAAACCTGCCCTTATTTCACTTCCTAAATGTAAACGGCACAGCCCTTCATGCTGAGCCCTTCAAGCTCTTCCCAGGCAAGGACCCCTGCCCCCAGGGCAGCACGCTTCCCTTCTGGAGTCCCTGCCCCCTCCCCGTCACTGCCCCAACTGTGTCACTGCCCCCCATGTTCCTGCCTCCCCCTGTGTCACTCCCCCATGTCACTCCCCCAGTGTCACTGCCCCCCATATCCCTGCCTCCCCCCACGTCACCGCCCCCCCTCCATGCTCACCTGGGACATATGCAGCCCACAGTCCATAAGGGTGAAGGGTCAGGGTCTCCCCAGCTCTGCCTCCCCCTGACCTGTCCTGGGCTGTATCCGGCCCAGCACCCACAGAATGTGTACAAGTGTGTGTGGGCGTGAGGCCGAGTGAGGGTGTGAGTGCGTGAGCGCATGGGTGTGTGACGGTGCTCGGTAGTGCTGAGATACGGTGGATCACGGCGTGTGTGTGTGTGTGTGTGTGTGTGTGTGTGTGTGTGTGTGATTGTGCGTGGGGTTTTGCGTGCGGGCGTCAGCAGAAGCGTGAAGGTGTGAGAGAGTATTGTGTGAGTGCGTGTGTATGTAAGTGGTGAGGGTGTGATCGTGGCTGTGTCCCTGTGACTACGTCAGTGTGTGGTGACTGTTGTGATTTCAGAGTTCTGCTGAGTACGTTGTGTGGCAGTACGTGTATGCCTGCGTGTGAGAACACGTGGGGCGGGCAAGCATGTGTCACTGTGTGTGTAGATTTGTGTCATCGCCTGTGTAAGTGCATGAGACTGTGTGTGTGTGTATATCTGAGAGTGTGCGTATGAATGTGTATAGATGTGAGTTTGCGTGTGATTGTATGCATGCGTGACACTTTGTGTGTCACCACGGCTGTGTGTTGGCATTTCGGTGCGTCTGTGGAGGTGTGTGGTTTTATGCGTGTGTGAGAGTGTGTGTCAGCGTGCCTGTGATCATGTGGGAGCCCCCGTGTGAGTGAGGGAGTTTGAGAATGTGTAGCGTGGGGTGTGAGTGTGGAAGTGTGTGACGGTGTTCGGCAATGTGTGTGCATACGTGTTAGTGTGACTATGTGTGTATCTGAGGGTGTTTTATGACTATGGACATGTGTTTGTGAGTGTGTATGAAGGCTGTGAGTGTGTAGTTGTGACCTGTGGGTGTGTTAATGAGGATGCTCATGAATGTGTGAGTGTGGCTGGCCGAGTCAGGGCATGTCACTCAGTAGGGGTGTGTGTGTGTGTGTGTGTGTGTGTGTGTGTGTGTGTGTGTGTGTGAATGTTGAATGTTTGTGTGAGTATATAAGCACATGAGTTTGAATCCTTTTATTGTTTGTTTGTTTTGAGATAGGGTTTCTCTGTGTAGCCTTGGCTGTCCTGGACTCACTTTGTAGACTATGCTGGCCTCGAACTCACAGAGATCCACCTGCCTCTGCCTCCCTGAGTGCTGGGATTAAGGGCATGTGCTACCACCACCCAGTGAATTTGAGTCCTAACATGAATATGTGAATAAATTAGTACGAGTGACTGAGTGTGAATTCATGTGTGTGACTGATTTTTTATGGGAGTGTGAGAATATGATTGTGTGTGAGTCTCACTATGTAACCTAGGCTGGCTTTGAACTCACCTGGTCTGCCTCCTTCGCGCTGGGATTCCAGGAGTGAACCCCCATTCCTGGCCCATTTCAGCATCTCAAGACCCAGGTAGGACATGTGCACAACACTGGGTTTGGTTCCTAGTGCTCAAAACTAACCCACCAGCAAGCATGGTGGGCAGCGCCAGGCAGCTGGGGAGCTGCCCACCTGAGCCCCAGCATGCGTCCAGATGAGCTTGTCCACAAAGCACCCCTGGGAGAGTGTGGAAACCAGCATCACCAGTGAGGCGTGCCGGGCATTTTCTGGCTGAGTAGTTGGAGCCTCGTCTGCATCCTGTCCAGCCTGCTGCCCGGAACCCCAGTGTCCACCAAGAACCCAGACCTTACCCTCCAGGCTTCAGTCTCCTCATCGGCCAAACCAGGGTCCACTCATCTCTGACCTTCGAATGCCACAGGTTCATAGCTTCCCTCGCGTGTGTGGGCACACAGTGGCACCTCTCGGGCACTGCTGGGGCACATGTCTTCTCTGTCTCTCCAGTGTCCCCTTCCCTCACTCCCCACACCCACCTTCCTCAGCCTTCACCTGCCATTGTCAAGACAGGCGGGATCTCCACTATGCTCGGGAAACTGGGCATAGTGGGGTGTAGCCCCATTGATCCGCCTGGCATCCCTTGGGGCTTGGCCTTCTCCTGTGGAAGGCCTGGAGCCTCCGTGACTCCCTTCTGCCTTCTCTGGATGAACTGGTTTCTGATCTGCCAGCTTCACAATGCTCTGCCCTGGCTTCCCCTCTCCCTCTGTACTCTGACCTTCCTGGAGGTCCCCATCGTAGATGCCCCCTACACACACACACTCCACTTGAGGACTACAAGTGACAAACTCCCTTCTCTGCTCTGGTGGCCTCCCTGTAACACAGGAACAATAAACACACATTTCAAACATTCACACACAGAGCGCTGAGAGGTTTCAAAGTGGGGTCTGTGAGCATCGGCTATGACCTGATCGGCAGCCCGCCTGAGTCCTTGTCCATCCCTTCCCTTGCTGGCTCTTGTCCATATTGCCTGGGTCTGCCAAAAGTCAGTTGTACAGAAGGCAGACACCTTGCTCAGGCCCTTTGGTTATAAAGAAAAGTACTAAAGATTGGGAGAAGGGTTGGAAGAAGAGGGAAAAGCAGGTTTGGAAGGACAGAACGCGTAGGAAGGCAGGCATGGAAGGGCGCAGGGAGGCCTGGAGTTTGACTGCATCTGGACAGTTGGAAAGAGCCCCACCATTAAAGATAAGGGGACCTGGCCTTCAAGAGTCAATGAAGGGAGGGACACTGGGATGCCACAACACAGAAAGGTAAACTGAGGCTGTTGAGTAGAGGGTTGTACAGATAAGAACCTGATAAGGGGATAAGGATCCTAGGAGGCCAGCAAGATGCCTCAGCGGGTAAAAGCACTCTAAGCCAGGGCAATCTTGAGTTCAATCCTCAGCATTTACATGGTGGAAGGAGAGAATGGCTTCCTGGGTTGTCCTCTCGAATTGCATGCACATACACAGGCAATACATAACGAAAAAGTTCAGAGCTTTCCCAAGGTCAGAGTGCTCAGAACCAAGGTCCTGTCAGAAGACAGCACTTAAAAAGTAGAGCGTGTGCAAAGTTCATTTAGGCAGCTGAGCTACCTGACCCCAGGCCATGGATATAGGGTTATTCGGAGCAGGGCTGGACCCCAACTCTTACTCAGTGACTTCCTGGTGGTTATGGCCTCTGCACCTACCCTTGAGGACCCTTAGAGTGTGTGAGGGCTAGGAGCAGCTGAGACTCACTGAGCTTTAGCAGCATGGGGCTTCATGGATGTTGAGTACAACCTGAGGTACATGCCATCCTCTTCCTCCCCGCCCCCCGACACACACACACTCTTCAGGTAGGGACATGGAGGCCCAGAGAAGTGAAGTTACTTGCCTAAGGTTACACAGCTGGTAAACAGCAGACTTGGGCCCAGAGCCCACAGTGCTGATGACACTTGGAGGTTAGGACATTATCTGTCCTCCCGGGGCCTCTTTCCCTCTGAGGTTGGCTCATCTTGAAGAAGAGGGTGTGTTCTAGGGTCTCTCTTTATCTGGGTACGTAGGCACTGTATTTCCCGGCTGCTTTAGCGGAGCTGGTTTCTCTTCAACTTGTCAAGCACAGAAGGAGGGCAGAAGTGGCCAAGAGCCTGGTCAGGTGGCTTGGCTGCCAGCCCAGGCTCGGCCTCCCCCACTGCTTCCTTGCTTGGTTGGTTAAGTGCTGAATCCTCTGCTGTGGCAGAGGCCATCCTGACACGCCCAGTACCTGTGGCTCCACCTGGTCCCAGGACCCACCACAAAAGCTGCCCCAAGCCTCCAACCTAAGGATTTGCAAAAGAGAAAACAAACTCGCTCACACACAAAAGCCTTCCAGGCTTCCAGGCATCTGGTGACAGCTCTGCTAAGGGCTTCCTTCCTCTGCCAGTCCCTACTGGACAGTCTGAATGCCCTCCACCTGTGGCAGGTGGCTGTTCTGAAGCTCAGCCTCCAGTTAGAACCCTCCCTCCCTTCAGGATCAAAAGAGGCCATAGGAGGCCTGAGCCAACGCTTGCTACAGTGCCACCTCAGCCAACTCAGTCACCTCTGCTCCAGCAACGCAGCTGGCCAGATCCGGCTAGGGACATACTCTCCCTCCACAGCACGATCCAGGAACTGGTCCCTATTGGGCAATTATTAATCGGATTCTTGGCATTCCTCTGTCCCCAGCCAGCATGCTCCCCACCAGAGCAGGAGCAGAGCCCCAGGACTGGCATTTGGACATGCAGCTGACCAGCAAGGTGGTGCTGTCCGCAGCTGCGCTGCTCCTGGTAACTGCGGCTTACAGACTCTACAAGTCCAGGCCTGTCCCAGCCAAGCAAGCGGGGACAGATAACAAGAGCCACAAAACAGAAAATGAAGCAGAGGGCTTGGGGCAACCTGCCTTCCAGGGGGCTCCCCCAGGGACCCTGTCAAGAGGTCCAAGACGCAGGAAGGCCATCAAGGGGGCTGGGTCCCCACTGGAATGCACCTTGGAAGACGCAGAAGACTCCTGCCTCCTGGTCACTTCGAGATCTGAGGAGTCCACAAGAAAAGTTTCTGGCGAGAATCAGGGCGGGCAGCGCCCGGACTCTCAGCAGGTGCCTCCTCCTTGCAGTGGCCAGGAAGCCGGAACAGCTGGTAGAGGTAAGCCCAACCCTCCCCACCTCCCTCCTCTGGCCTGTGAACCCACAAGCTCCCCAGCCAGACTTGCTCCAGGAGTGGGCGGCAGCTGTGTGGGGGACAAGCTCTCTCCATGGCCAGACGGCAGACCCCCAGAACAAACAGGGTCTGGGGACCCGGGAGCCCCCAGCTGTCGGACTGATCCTGCAGTGGTCAGCGGTGACATGAACCAGAGCTGGGTCTTCACCCATGTGACAGGGCTCAGCAGGGGAGAGGCTGGGGCCCTCCAGGCTGCTGCAGACATGGGTTTGGCCACACAGCAGCAGGAAGGAGCCACCAATGCCTCCTACACCTTCTCATCTGTGGCCCGGATCCGGATGGAGGAGAATATTCTGCAGAGGGCAGAGGGACCAGGGCACGAGCTAAAGGGTAGATTATATGACTACTTTGTGGAGTCCACATCAAAGGCTGTCTCCAGGCCAGTCCCCTGTACAGCAGCTCTGCCTGATGCTCCAGCCCTTGAGCCTGGACCAGAGCCCCGGGCCACAGGAGCAGCCTCCAGAGGCCAAGCTGATGACCCAGCGGGTGCAGCTGAAGTTTCGTCCCCACGGCCTGAGCCATCCCCTTCTGCGCCAGGCTTCAGCAGAAAGGTGAGCCTCCTGCAGATCGCTGAGAACCCAGACCTCCAGCTGCAGCCGGAAGGCTTCAGGGTGGCCCCGCCTGCCCGCCCGGACCGGGAAGCCCAGCTCAGTTCAGCCTGCAGCCGTGGGGAGCCCCAGGTGCAGTTTGTAGCTGGGACCAATTTCTTCCACCTCCCGCTCACCCCTGCTTCTGCTCTGGATGTCCGACTGGACCTGGGCAATTGCTACGAGGTGCTTACCTTGGCCAAGAGACAGGGCCTAGGGGCCCTGAAGGAGGCGGCCTACAAGGTGATGAGCGATAACTACCTCCATGTACTCCGCAGCCCGGACATCTACGGGGGCCTGAGTGGAGCAGAGCGGGAGCTGATCCTCCAGCGCCGGCTCCGTGGCCACAGGTGCCTGGTGGTGGCAGACATGTGTCCCCAGGAAGACAGTGGCCGCCTCTGTTGCTATGACAATATTCGGGATGCCTGGCACCCGCTGGCCCAGCTGCCCCTGGAGGTCATGTCCCGGGGTTGTGCCCTCTGTACTCTCTTCAATTATCTCTTTGTGGTGTCCGGCTGCCAGGGACCTGAGGGCCAACCTTCCAACCGTGTCTTCTGCTACAACCCCCTGACCGCGATCTGGAGTGAGGTGTGCCCGCTGAATCAAGCCCGGCCGCACTGCCGGCTGGTGGCCCTGGAGGGGCACCTCTATGCCATTGGAGGTGAGTGTCTGAACACCGTGGAGCGCTACGACCCCCGCCTGGACCGCTGGACCTTCGCCCCGCCCCTCCCCAATGACACCTTTGCCCTGGCCCACACAGCCACGGTGTGCGCCAATGAGATCTTTGTCACCGGGGGCAGCCTGCGCTACCTGCTGCTCCGATTCTCGCCTCAGGAGCAGCGTTGGTGGGCCGGCCCCACGGGGGGCAGCAAGGACCGCACGGCCGAGATGGTGGCCGTCAATGGCTTTCTCTACCGTTTTGACCTCAATCGCAGCCTGGGCATCAGCGTGTACCGCTGCAGTGCCAGCACCCGGCTGTGGTATGAGTGTGCCACGTACCGCCTGCCGTACCCGGATGCCTTCCAGTGCGCCGTGGTAGACGACCGCGTCTACTGTGTAGGGCGCAGGCGCATGCTCTGTTTCCTGGCTGACCACATCTCGCCCAGGTTTGTGCCTCAGGAGCTACAGGGCTTCCCTTCAGCACGGGGCACCCTTCTGCCTGCCGTCCTGACCTTGCCTGTCCCTGACGTGCCTCAGACTCCTGTCTAGCAGTCCCTCTGCTGGGCTCCGTCAGGATTCAGAGAAATTCCCTGACCTGAACATGGCGAGCTGTAGAGTAGAAAGTTCTCTCTCTCCTCCGTCGCAGGCTACAGGGCCTCGGAGGATTTTTAACCACCGTGGGCCGCAGGCTTGCCGCAAAAATGAAGCCGAACAGCAGGCATCCACAGACAGACCGATGCTGGGCTTCAAATCACAACTCCTGGCAGGGCCTATTTCAGGACCCCACCAAAATGCATGGCCATAGCCTTATCCCAATCACAGTTGAGATGCCAGGGGGACCCTCGAGCTGGCTGGCTCTCATGAGCTACCGTCGACCAGCTTCCTAAGCGTTGGTCTCACCAGTCCCTTCACATTGGTTCCCCCCTTGAGCTTCTAGAAGCACCTGGGACACAGATGGGAACAACAGAAGGAGGAGGTTTGGGCAGGAGCAGGAAGGAGCTCAGGCTATCCCCAAGGTTTGGCCAGAGAGACTGGCATTGCTGAAGCTAAAGGCACCTATAGGGATACTCGTTTGCAGAGCACATTGACGGAGGCCCTTTTCTCTCTCTCTTTCTCTCTGGTTACCTCAAGTTCTGTGTGCTGGCAGGAAGAGAAGTGTCCATCTTAGCAGGTGTTTTATTTTAATATTAATCATAGCACAACTGAGGTCTTGGGAGGCGGGGTTGCCCATGTGGTTCCAGGCTGCCTTTTTCCAGACCCGTGCCCACGCCCACAACCACCTGACCACATGCTTCACAGACTGCAGAATCCTTTCTACCTTCACGCCAGGGCAGCCACCACCATTCAGCTCATCAGCATGGCCTTCTCTGTGTCTGGCAGCCATCATGTCTGCCTTGTCAGATGGGAAGGAGTGAGGAGAGGCAGGTCCAGGATGGAGCTAAGGAGTTGGAAGTCTCTAGTGGAGTGTCCAGGTCCTCAGTCTTTCACATCAAAGGGGACCCAACTTCCAGGAAGAAAGGCAGAGCCAGTCCAACCTGTTACCCTACCTACCATGCCCTTACTCCATTCTGAGGGAGACAAAGTTGTCAGAGGGAAGCAATGATGCTCTTGAAACTATCCAGGAGCCATGAGGTGGGAGTCACAGTCGGGCCGGGTCTGCCGGAATGGGAGAATAATACCACTCTGGACACTGTGTCCCTTCAAAAGTCCTTCTCAGACCCCAGCGGTGGCCATGCTGCTGTGGGAACTGGGCTGGGTCACGTTTTGGAAAATGCAGGATAAGAATGTAGAATAAGGAGGAGGTCTGACGTGGAGATGAGATGGAAGCTCTGGTTGGACCATGCAAGGTGACTAACCCTGGCCAAGGGCCTGGCAGGAGGAAGCAGCTGAGTGATTCTTAAATTGAAAGCTGAGTAAGAAAGGCTGTCTGAGCCTGTGGGTCCCTAGGGAGGAAATCCTGCCCCCTGTCCCTGGTCTGCAGCCTCTTCCCTCTCCCTCTGTCCCCTGCCAAGGCCATGTCAATACCCAGGCATCAACCTCTGAGGAACATTAGGGTGGGGAAAGGATGACTTCAGTAAAAAGACTCAATGGGGCATTGGCATTGTGGTGCCAGGCTGGGGCGGGACAAGGTGCTTTTGGAAGGTAACCCAGCTTCCAGTCACAAGCTAGACAAGGTCTGGGGGCAGCCTCTGGCAATGAGCCAGACAGAAGGCAAGGCCCCAGCACAGCTGGGTAGTTCCTAGGCTCAGGAGAAGAGAAATACTAGGGAAACTTCCAAAAGCCTGTGGCATGCCAGTGGTAGGATCCAGGAACATGATTCCAGGGAAGTTGGGGGAAAAAAAGCATTTCCTTGATCCCAGTGAATGGTGAGTGTAGTCTTTATAAAGAGAGGGAGCGCTAAGACTGGGCTGTTGTACATCCCTTACACTCACATCTCAGGCATCACCAATCAATCCCTGTATCTTTTCCTGATAAGCCCTTCTAATGAGCTCAGAACTTCTCTAAACAGAACACCAGCCATCATGGCTGATAGGTCAGAGCTGGCATGCCATCACCGGCTTGACAAAGAGCTGACCTGGGGGATGGGCATGATTCTAAGTAGGAAACGCAGCCAAGGCTAGATGGACAGACTTCACTGGTGGAATGAGCATGCACAGGCTGTTTGGGCTGAGCACTGCTCTTCAGGTGGAGGAATAGCAGTGTTCCAATGGAGGAGAACAGGCTGATTCACAGACCAAGCACAAGCACAGGAGGAGATGGAAATCAGTGTGCACAGCTGCTAAGACAAGGGCAAGGCAGCAAACACAATCGGGCCTTTCTAATGAGACGGTGTCTCAGGAGGAATCAGAGAGACTCACCCAGCAGGAGGGGGAAGGGTTTTGCCACAAAGGCTAGGGGACAGGGCTGCTTCCAAGGTGGACCACCTCAGGGTGGAGGAGGGGTAACCACTCATCTGGCTCTTTCTCTGTTCCCTGGGGGAGAAGTCGACTAGGTGCACATGGGAGCAGGAGCCAGCATAATTACCAGGAAGTCACAGGCGCCGTGGCCAAGCCTACAGCTGAGGGCAGCCTGCTGGCATCTGCTTCACAGGGGCTTGGGGTCTAGGCTTCCCACTCAACTCGGGGGAATAGACTGGGCTCTGCCAACCTCCTGGCCTCAGCCTCCGTGTGGCCTAAGCGTCAAGTGGCCCTGAGGACCATCTGTGTTGCTTTTTTTCTAATGAGAGTTCTTACTGCTTTAGGGGAGGGAAAAATGATGTTTGGGTTACTTTCCACTTTAAGCCAGTCCATGTCCCTTTATAGAAAAATAAATAGGCAATTGGAAGGTAGAGAAACATATAACAAAAGTCTCAATTCTGCCACCCAATGACATCTCCTGCCAGGGTGCGTGTCCCTCGGGTCTCTCTCTTCTGTCTGTGGGTTTTGTTTAGGTTGGTTTTTCCCCGGGTGTGTTTGTGCTGAGCATACGATTCTGCTGCTTCCTTCTGCACACGGCATCTTCAGAATAAGCATCTCCCCATGTTATTACAAACCCTCAGTAAACATCATTTCAATAGGAACAGAATATTCTGCGGAGCGAATGGATCGCACTTTATTTAAACACCCTCCCCTCCTGTTGGGCTTGCGGATTTTTTTCCCCCTTGTTGATTTCTTTTTCTATCATAAATAAAATGGTCTTTGTTTTCTCGTTCTTCTCCGAGGCCTCCGCCAAAAGCAGAGCAGACAGAGAGGTCTAGGTCCTCTCTGGAAGTGTGTAGTTGTGGAAACAGTCATAGCCCACAGCACTTACCCAGAACTACAAAACCCTTTTGGACTGTAGGGCACACAGCTGACCTTGGTAATGCCTGGCGAGAAGGTCAAAGCTGGCTAGTGGGATAGGGCAGCCAGGGCTCCCTTCCTGCAGAGCTCTCAGTGCAGTGACATCGGCAACATCTCGCAAGCTTGGTGTGCAACCCCTCACGACCACGGCGGCCCCATTTACAAACGAGAAAACCTGGCTTCAAGGAAATATCTTCCCTCGAGGCAAAATTCAAAGACATTTTCTCTCTTTATAAAGTGTGCTACAGGGATGGGGCATGTGACTTAGCCCTGGCCGAGTGCTTGCCTAGCAGGCAAAGGGCTCCATCCAGCGTTGTGAAGCTGGGTGTGGTGGCTGCATCTATAAAGTTGACGCTTAGGAGGTAGAGACTGGAGGCCCAGAAAGTCAAGGTCATCCTCCATATATAGTAAGTCAGAGGCCAGCCTGATTGAGATTCACGAGGCCCTGTCTCAAGCCCCCCCAAAACAAACAAACAAACAAACAAACAAACAAACAGACAAACATAGAAAGTCAGCCTCACCTCACTCCTGGGACTTTTCTAATCCCACTTTACCCATGCCAATCAGTCACGTTCTGTTTACGGACTTTCAGCTCAAGAGGGAATTTTCTTCATTTTCTCAGTGCCTGCACCCATAAAACGGGTTGTCCCTGCCAAAATCATGGGGATGATGTGAGAAGAAGACATTTTCTGTCAGGCCATCAGCTCAGGATCAACTTCAGAACGTGCCCCAGAAGAACTCCCAGCTCTCCTGGAGGGCCCATCTGGAAGGACAAGCACCCCCCTCTCACCTCCCTCACCCCCATCCCCCCTCACCCCCAGCCCCGTCCCAACTCACTTGCTCAGTGCCTTGTTCTCTCAGGAGCCAGACTGTCTGTGGTTTAATCTGCAATGCCCCTTTCTTCTCTGAGAAGGTCTGAGGTTGCTCCAGATGAAAGCCTGTCCTATTTTAGGGCCCCTGGGTTTCAGAGGCGTGATCACGTGCTCTGCTCAGGCAGGGAGGGGAGTTCAGGACTAGCCTGCTCGCCAATTGCCGATTGGTACTTTCCCAGGTCAGAACGCTGCCATTTTCCTTGGAAGACTTAGAGTTCAGAGGGCCATCAGAAAGCGTCCGATCCTTCTTTCCTTGACAGGTTGGGAGGAAACACCCCTTGGGAAGAGGAAGGCAGAGCCTGGCCTGGAGAGGCAAAGACACAGGCACCCAGGGCTTCCCACCTTTGTCAGCCTTACCGGGAAGGGTCCTGTGGCTCTGCCCCCCCCCACCCTGGGAGTCCCCTGAAGCGGCAGCTCCAGCCGGGAGCAGCCCCTAGGCAGATGCGAGGCTGCAGCAGCAGAAGGAGGCAGATGAAACCAGGGCAGGAGGCACCTTCTGGGAGCTGGGGAATGGAAGAAAGGACAGCCTGGAGGGAAGACTCTACAAAGAGCTCCCAGCCTCGGGTCCTTTGAAAAGTGAGAGGCAGGTCAAAATAAAACAAAAAATTGGAGTCTCAGTTGCCTTTTTGTGTGAAAAGAGATGGAAATACCAGCATTTTCAGCCCCAGGGCTCTGCACATGAGCAGTAGCCATTCCTCACTGACACCAAGGTAGGGTATGTGGCTTGGTTGCCATCCTCACAGCCGAGAGGAAAACAGAGATGGGTCAGTACACCACAAAGAAATTTTTTTAAAAAAAAATCACTATTTCAGCCAGTCATGGTAGCACAGGTCCGTCATCTTAGCATTTGGGATGCGTAGACCAGAGGTGTAGCTCAAGGCCAGCCTTGGCTACATAACAAGTTTGAGTCAGCCTGGGCTACATGAGACCTTATTTGTTTAACTAATTTCATTTTAAGCAGAGTTGGGCTACCTAAGCATAGTTGAGCATAGACTTAAGCACAGGGGTCAAGAGAAGGAAAGAGGCCCACAGGAAGAAAGCAAGGCCCACTCAGGGTGAAGGTGTGAGCTTCTGAAAGGCTCCATTGTCTTTGCAGAGGCAGATGCAGGTGGGTAGGTTCACCTAAGCAAGGTCTTATCTGAGAGGCCAAGAGAATGTCTTGGAGGGGCGCATAAGGCCCTACTCAAGGTCAGATGTGTTCAAACAAAGCCCAAGCCAAACCAAACCAAACCCAAACAGCCTAGATGTGGAAGGAGTGCTCTATGTGGGAACGCCTTCGCTGCAAATGCCACTAACCGTACTGGCAATTTTGCTTCTCAGACGGTAAGAGGCTTCAGCCGCACTCCAAGGTAAGTGGTTCCGTTCCCTTCCCATACTGCCATAGTTCCCCCTGGCTTCCTATTCTGCCTGACTCTCCCTCCCCTCTCAGATTTTGGTCCCCTGATCTTAAGAGTTGCAGAAGGCCACATTTTCTGTCTTGTGTAATTCCTCTGTAGCCAACTGAAGCATAGCCCCTACCTATCCAGCGATCAGAAGCCTCCACTCATGAGGGCATGAGAGGGTCCAAGCTTGCAGAGGGCCATCGTTTGAGGGGAAGAGAGACATCATTACCAGAGACTTCATGCCCTGTACAAGCAATGAAGTATTCGGTAGTTCGCTCTGAGTAGGATCAGTGCCCAGAGTAGCACGCCCTTCTCACACCTGTATTTTATGCCAAGAATCTCCAAATAGAGAAGTGAAATTATTATCTGCACATCAATTAAGCAGCCCAGGCTTAAAAGCGCATCGTTTATCAGAAAGGGATCTTTTTAAAAAATTATTTATTTTTGTTTTGTGTATAAGTGTTTATCTGAATATATGTCTGTGTGACTCCTGGCGCCCACAGAAGCCCAAAGATGACATTGGATTCCCTGAAATGAGAGCCACAGAAGGTTGTTAGCTGCCTTGTGGGCGCTGGAAACGGAACCAGAGCCCTCTAAAAGAGCAGCCAGTTCTATTAACCACTGAGCTGTCACTCAGACCCTGAGCTAGGGTCTTGCTTAGTAGCCCTGGCTGGCCTGGAACTCTGTACATAGACCACGCTAGCCTCAAACTTGTGGGCATTCTCCTGGTGGAGTTCCAGACACACGACACCAAAGCCACCAAAGCCAAGTCTATCAAGCTTTTTGTATCTTTTGAATGTGTTATTTTATTTTTAAGAGACTTGGGCATCGGGCGTACCTTGGTGTGACAGATGTACTGGAAAGGTTTCAAGGAGCAAAGATTTATTTGGTTCAGAAGGTTCGCCTGCTTACCCTTACACAGATCCATTGTGTCTGAATTTGTGTCAGAGCAGAGCTTCGAGGCCAGGACTGTATAGTGGGGCAAAGCTGCTCAGGCCAAGGTGGCAAAAAGCAGAGAGCGCAAAAGGGTCTGGAAACTTCATCCACTCCACCAGGCTCTGCCTCTTTTTTAGCACCGTCTTCCAACAGCATTGTCAAATTGTTCATTAACAGAATCCACTGATTAGGGGAGGGTCCATTAGTTAATGTGGAATCCCCAGGGACCAGGAAGCCCACCAGCTGCCAGCCAGTTCTCCAATCAGTGAGCAGAACCAGACTCATCATGGAGTCTTGCTATGTTGCTCAGGTTAGGCCTGAACTTCTGAACTCAAGGGATCCACCTGCCTTAGCCTCCCAAATAGCTGGAAGCACAGGCAGAGGCCACTTCATTTGGCTTCTTTTGTTTGTTTGTTGTTGTTGTTGTTTGGGGAGGTTGTTTTGTTTTTCTTTTTGTTTTTTTTTAGACAGGGTTTCTTTATGTAGCCTGGGCTATCCTGGACTAGCTTTGTAGACCAGGCTGGTCTCAAACTCACAATGATCCACCTGCCTCTGCCTCCCTGAGTGCTGCTGGGATTAAAGATGTGTTCCCCTGCACCCAGCTCCATCTGGCTTCTCAAACGAAGCGCAGTATGTGGATGAATTCCCCACTCTCCTGACCATCAGTTCTTCCAGCCCTAGAATTTGTTCACATGACTCCCTTTGACCTCTGTGGGAGAGTAATATATTTGCCATAGCAGAGGCTTGAAAATTGATCGTGTGTGTGTGTGTGTGTGTGTGTGTGTGTGTGTGTGTGTCTTATGTATTCATTCACATGGATCTGAGCCTGTGTTATGTGAGTTGCATGTGCACGTATGTGTTCACACATTTTGGGGTCAGAGGTCAGGTCTTCCTCAGTCACTCTCCACTTTATGTTTTTGAACCTGGAGCACATGAGTGCAGCTAGACTGCCTGGCCAGTGAGCTCCAGGGATCTGCTTGTTTCTGCCTCCCCACACCGGGACCTCAGGTGTGGCTTGATATGGCACCCAGGGCCTGTGAAGTCTGAGCTAATGCCTCTGCTTTCGCTGAGAAAACTAGAATTCAAGACCGTACGGTAGCTTTCCGTCCCAGGGCTGCATAGCTACAAGGGAGAGAAGCTGCAGCACCACCTGTCTGGCATCAAGCCTCAGCTTCTTTTCCATGCAGCCACGTGGCCGGGCTCTGTCCTCTCAGGAACCGGGGCAGGGGTTCCCACCTGAGGACCTGCTCATGTCTTTGTCATTCCAGAAGGGCAGGGCCTTCTCCAGAGCCCAGGAAGGGGCGGGGGGGACCTCTGAGCCAAGTCAGAGGAGGGTCTAGAACACAGGATGGGGGATTTGGTTCAGAGGGTAAGATGCTACTGTGCAAGCATGAGGACATGAGTTCAAATCCCTAGAACCTATGTGGAAGAGCTAGGAGGAGTGTCATGCCCATGTAACCTCAACACCGGGGACATGGAGATACGAAGCTTTGCTAGCCGGCTAGTGAGGCTCCCAAAACAAGGCAGGTAAACAGCACCCGAAGAATTACAGTCAAAATCGACCTCTGACCTCCACTATACACACACTTACGCTCTCTCTCTTTCTCTCTCTCACGTCCAGTTCCCTAAACAGCAAGCATTCATACTCACTAGGCACTTTATCTGAGGTAACCCGC